TCCTGTGGCTGGGACGGGATGATATGGGATTGGGGGGGCAACTCCCATCTCTTGCGGGGGCGCAATTCGTGCCAGCACCGACTGTTAAGAGTTTGGGTGTAATCTTCGACACCTCCCTTTCCATGGAGGCGCAGATTGCAGCTACAACAAAGGTGGCATTTTTCCATCTCCGCCAAGCTAAGCAGTTGGCTCCTTACCTCTCTTGCCCTGACCTAGCCACTGTGATCCACGCGACGGTCACCTCCAGACTGGATTATTGTAACTCGCTCTATGTGGGGCTGCCCTTGAGACTGACCCAGAAACTCCAGCGGGTGCAGAATGCTGCAGCGAGACTCCTTACGGGGTCTTCGCTGCGAGATCACATTCACCCGGTGCTATACCAGCTGCACTGGCTCCCGGTGGAGTACAGGATCAGGTTTAAGGTGCTGGTTTTAACCTTTAAAGCCCTATACGGCCTAGGACCCTCATACCTACGGGACCGCCTCTCCTGGTATGCCCCACAGAGGAACTTACGGTCTTCAAATAAAAACATCTTGAAGGTCCCAGGCCACAGAGAAGTTAGGCTGGCCTCAACTAGAGCCAGGGCTTTTTCGGCCGTGGCTCCGATCTGGTGGAACACTGTCACAAGAGACCAGGGCCCTGCGGGACTTGACATCTTTCTGCAGGGCGTGCAAGACAGAGCTGTTCCACCAGGCCTTTGGCCAGGGCACAGCCTGACTCCCTCCCTCGGCAATCTTCGCGGAGCTCTGGCCCAATGGTTGCCAGTGGCTTGAATTAATTAATTTTATAATGAATGATTTTAGAGTGTTGTTTGTGCTGTGCTTTTGTACTGTTTTATTGTTGTTAGCCGCCCTGAGCCCGGCTTCGGCTGGGGAGGGCAGGATATAAATAAAATTTATAATTGTTATTATTATTATTATTATTATTATTATTGGGAAATGTACATGAAAACGCTCACAATAGTGAAAATAACATACAAAAATACATTCCGTTAGGTAAAATTGCTTACAAAAGTGTGCACATTGGGCAAAATGTGGAATAAAATGCTAATGAATACTTCTAAGATTTATTTATTTTTTAAATCACAGTCAGGTGTGAAAATGTGATGGACTGAACTTAACACTGGAAAAATGCAAATCTTAAACTGGCAGATTTCTCCATCCCTAGTGGGGGTGAAAGACACCTGCTTAGATTTCCTCCAACTCATCCCACACCACTCATTGTGCACTATACCTTTAAAGCGGGAACGTGGGAAGGGGCTGTCTGGACGGGCCTTTTCTAAAAGACCCCTGTCCTACCATATGTGTGTGGCCTGTCCCTTTAAGGCATTCTGCTTCACATAAGGAATGTGAGGTATGTGCCAGGTAGGGAAATGCACACCCTGGCCTCTGCCCTAAGTAAATAGGCAGGTTGCCCATAGAGCCTGTGACAACCTTGCATTATTTAAAGTTAATCTGTGACTTTGCAGCGTTGCTGGTTCATAGGCAGAGTCAGCATTAGTAGTAACAATAATGGGATATGATATTGTGAAATGTCATCCTTTGCTCTCCTTGTCATTCCGAAGGAATGTGCTCCTGTGCAAAGAAAGCTGGTGCTTTAATGTAGTGCATTTCATGCATGCAGGTCTTCTGTTGTCCTGAGGCTGAACTTCTATTGGCTTGGAGAAACATAGAGCCTTTCTTTCATTACAAGGGTTACATCCGGTCATAGGGATAGATTCAACGAAATAGCTGCGCTAGTGGGAGCAATGAGCTGCACTGGTGCAACAGGGATTTCTTCCTCTCCTCCCTCCACTCGCACCCCCAACCCAGTCAGCCTGGGGGTGGGGGGGCGTGGCATTGGGAGAACACCTAGAACAGCATGCGGTGATGGATGAAGATAGGAGGAGTTTATTCTGGCTGGCAAGCAAAATGTCTACAGTTTGGTGAAGCATTGGTCTCGGCTAATGCCTTCTCTCTTGACTGAGAGAGGTAACTCGAAATGGTCTCTTCTACCATTTAAGGCACACAAGCTAGAAATTGTGTACAGGAGGAAGTGGTCTTAAACTCCAAGATGAGAACTCATTTCAGAGGTAGCTACTGTGGGGACTTCAGCAGGGTCTTCAACAATCCAGAGTAAGATTCCATCTCTATAGCCAGATATATGTGGACATGGGCCATTTCTGCAGTGCTTGTTGGGGTTTGAGAACGTGCAGCAAGCCTTAACCAGCAGAGAACAGGAGAGGGATGTGCTGGAAGGGGCAGGACTTGCTAGTCTCTCCGCCCCCCTCCTCTTATTACGTAAAGAAAGAGAACCCCTTAAAAAGGCTTGGGATTGATCCAATTCTGAACTGAAACAGCAACAGGAATGTATAAAAATCTGCTAAAAAGCAGAAAGAGAAACTGATTTTGTCAACATGGCATTTCCAAATGATGTTGGGATTTGTGACAGCAATGGATGTGCAAGAAGTGCTATAAGAAAAACCTTACGAAAGAGCAAATTGCTTTTAATAGCTATTCTTGCTGTATGACTCTTGTTTTGTTCCAGCTAGTCTTGTTTTTATACTTTGTTTACCTGCTAGTTTTTTAACATTGTGAGTCACTTTTTGTGAAATATGTGACATGACTTAAAAATACTTACTATGTAGTTTGGAAAAATGTTTGTTCACTGTGTATTTGGACACCTCCTTAAGATATTGTAACCACATTTTGCGTAATGATTCCTGAGATCAAATAGCAGGTTTTCGTCTGTGTTCAAGTACATTTAGATAGCATTTTGAATCAAGATGGTGGACTGAACTGATTTTTTAACCACTGATTTCAAAACCTTTCTGATATGCTAGTTTTATATTGGTGATCACTTTAGGGGTTAATGTGGACATGGGCCAATTTCTGCATGTGCATGGTTGTTTGTTGTCATCCACACGAGTGCTTTCAAAACCTCTTACTATTTTCTGTCTGCACTAGTAGGTGGTGTTTGATTGGATGTATTCACAATATTGTGTTGGTGTTCCCTGCTCTCAGTTAGTACTTCCTAACTCATCATAGGTTCTGGAAACCTGAGGTCCATTGTGGGCATGTATGCAGGTATTTACTTACCCATGCGCACACTTCATAAATTTCTGAAATACAAGTTTTCCAGTGTGCCAAATTTGTACAAAAGGCACTATTTTTTAAATGTATGTGTTGCTCCAAGCCAGGAAACCTGAAGTCTGTTGTGGATATTTGCACAGATATTTGTTACCTGTACATGTGCACGTTTTAATTTTTTATATATAGGTTTTCTGATGTACCAGATGTGCACAAAACAGTGAATGCCGCCGCCGCCCCTTCAGTAATGTGTGTGGCTCCAAGTCAAGCAAGGATTTGGAGACAGTGGCATGAAAGACGGTCACTTCCTTGCCTTTATTTCCTTTCCCACCTCTTGTACCTGAAAGGACAAGTTTTATTTTTATTTTTAATACAGCTGTTTCAAGCAAAAGCACTTCTGGCCAAAATAACTGGGGTTTTTAAAAAAATACTGTTAAAATGTGAATGTGCCTTCAGCAGCTTTTCTTTGGGCAGATGGAAACAAAATGGAAGTAGGAAGTGTGGCAGGCAGCACCCAGTGAAATGTCACCAGTCATGTAAAACAACCTGCCCACACAATGCACTTCATTGGATCCACAGTCTGGTCACATACTATTTTAACTTGTATTTTCTTTCTTTACTGGATTATTCATTGATTAGGAAAATTCAAATTTAGTGGGAAAAGGTGTGGGCTACCATTTGGATAAGGAGGCATCATATAGACAATGCAAAAATAATAGTAATTAGAGACAAAATGAGCTGCAAATACACATTAAACACTGGTGTGAACCAATCCTTAGAATCCCCAAGCAATGCTGGGCACAAGGTTGCTAGTAATAAATAATAATTCTGCCCAGAGTATTTATTTTTATTTATTCCTGAAAGGTAGGGTGTGTGAGTGAGAGCTATGCATAGACAGAAGTGGGTTTAAAATGGCTGCAACTTTTATCAGTTGTGCGCAAAACATTTTGCCTTGATTTTTTAAAAAAACTATTATGTTAAAAGTACAGTGTACAGGAATTTTAACTCGCTGCAGTTGTAAGGTGTTTAATTTTGTTTGTTTGCTTTATTTGCTGATTATTTTTGTATTTTTGTATTAGTATTGTTTATTTTGATTGGCTGCCCTTCAGCAACAGGTCCCAGAACAGGTTACAACAATTTAAAAGTTGATGTTAAAAAAGTTAACATAGATCACTGTCACAGCGATAGGGTAGGTCTTAAAAACACACCTCAGATGTCAAAAGCCAAGGCAAAGATTATTACTGTATATGAATAAAGAACAGCCCAGCAACGACAAGCAGACCAGTAGTGATTGTTTGTGGGGTGTGGAAAAGCAGAGCAGGGTAACAACTGCAATATCACATATATTTTTCCTCAGTAGGAAGGAAGCCTCATTTATTTCAAGGGAGTTACTTCTAAGTAACATATACTGAACCAAGCCCATTTTGTTTTATTCTATAAAGGCAGCACACTGAATGAATGAAATAATGTGGGCATGAGGAAAGTGCTTTAACAAACACACCCCAGTATCCTCTTCTTCTTAGCTTCTGATTTTTCCTGCTACTCTAGGAGGGGCCCCTCTTGAGTCCCAGGCTTGGGCATCAATATTTCTTCCTCCAGTTGCTTAGCAACAGTGATGAAGTGTCCTTAGCAACAGTGCTGCCTGCTGAGTCACATTTTCTGCTCTAATTTTCTTCATAAATGTCTGATTGACATACTTATGCTACTAAAAAAGGATGAAAGCTGGGGTGGGGTGGGGGGGTTGGCCACCCACAAACTCCTACCCCTTCTACCTGTTTGTTGGTGGCCCTGAGGACACTGCTTCCAAGAATTGATTGATTATAGCAATGTATCCTGGTGAAGGGAAAGTACTACTAAGTCAAGTGTACTGACTTTATTGGATCCCAAGGCTTGTGAATTTGGGCTTTGCTTTATATCTTGTTGTAAGCTCCCATGTGTGTAAAAGCAGCAAGGTATAAATGAGTTGAAATCCTTGAAAAATGATATTCATATGCAGCAACCGGCAGGATTTCTGCAGCAGTAATCTGTTTTTGAGTATGTTCTGAAGTTGTGATATATGTTTATGGCTTCTTCTTATGTTTCCTCTCCAGAGTTCCTCAGTCATACTTACTGCTCCCTTGCCTGACTAGTGATATGCCTAAAAAGGATTTGTGGATAAGGACAGCTGACCCAGAACCCAGAGCAATTGTTCACAGTGCAGGCAGTTGTGACAGTATGATCAGCAACGACTCCAGCTTGTCCGGAAAGGTATATTAATTTAATTCAATTTATTTTTCTGTTCCACATAATTTCAGAACGTTTAGACAGGTCTATAGCCCTAAATAAAATATCCAACTGCTAAAACATTTAAGAAATATAAAAGATAAAGCACCATCTTAACCTTGGGCTAAAGTTTTCAACTAAAAATTTTAAAAAATCAGAATTACTTGCAAGCTAGGGCTTTGTATTGTAGGGATAGGGAACCTGTAGTTGCACTACAACTACCATAATCTCTGATACGCTGAATTAGGCTGATGGGATACACAGGGATAAGCATATTGTTTGGGGCAACTAATTTTTGAGGCAAGTGTTTGACTTGATTGTGTGCTGTTTCTAGGCAGGGGTCTGTGCTTTCATGCTCAGTGACCGAGTCCTTTTCTATTTCCCCCAGCACTTTCTCTGGGAAAACCTGTTCTTTACTGCTGAATTGAAGCAAACGGAAATCCACAGAAAACCCAAATTGCCACTTGTTTCAATGCAGCATAAATAGCAGGTTTTCCGTGAGAAAGCAACGGGAGGGGGGCGGAAATTAAAGCGCTCAGACACAGAGCTTGCAAGCATGAACATGTACCTAGAAAGCACTGTGTGGATGAGCCCTTGGTGTTAAATTATTTGAGTGATGGTCATGAATGTATGAACTTGCCCTTAGGATGTGAGGCTTCTCCAAGCACCTATGTGAAGGAGTTTCCCTCAGTCAACCTGCTGAGAATATTAAAATTCGAATGACAACTGAATGGCGGTACTTCCACTAGAAATGTTTTGGAGCTGCTGTAGTTGCAGTTTCCCAATGCCTAGTCCATTGAAGAATAATAATGATGCCATATTGAAGAGATGGTGATGGAGAGTGCACTGTGGTGAGCCTTAGCCAAGTTTGTGTAAATGCAAACTTCTGTGATATGTTTCACTAAAGTTTAACACAGCTTCACTCCAAGTTTAGCACTGTCATTCTGTAACCTGTGGGGTGGAGTGGATTTCTGTCCAGTGAGTGATGAGACCAGGTAAACTATTTCCTGTCTGACTTGAAGCTTACTAGATATTTGCTAACTGTAATTTGTAGAGATTTACTAACCACAAATTACCATAGCTGTCAACATTTCCTTTTTTTAAAGGGAAATTCCCTTATTCCGAATAGGATTCCTTGCAAGAAAAGGGAAAAGTTGACAGCTATGCAAATTACAGTTCTGAATTGAACTTCCATTCCTTCTGTTGCATACTAGAAGTGAACTTGTGCATTTAATTAATAACGATGAGCAGGGTAGTTCAATTATTGTGGGGCCTCTACCTTGTCATCGTAATAAACCTGTACCTTGCAAAAACTCCCACATGGCCTCATCCTAGAAAAAGCAAGGGAATCCAACTCTTCCTACGTCAGATTTTTATCTTATTACCATTTGGGTATATCAGCTGGGACACTGACATTAAATAATTGACAGTTGGAACTCAACTTGTAATATCTATGCTTGAAAATTACTGAAAGCAGACAAATCCCGTGAATCTTGGAATCTGGCAGATGTAATTTATGCATTCATTTTGGTCATTGGACCATTGACCCAAATATCTTGTGGCCACATTCAGTCTTTCTGTCTGAAGTCTTTGAGAATGGGAGTGGTGGTTGCAGAAAATTCATGGTCTATTTTGATCAGAAGGTTGGTGGTTCGAATCCCCGTGATGGGGTGAGCTCCCGTTGTTCAGTCCCTGCTCCTGCCCACCTAGCAGTTCGAAAGCACGTCAAAGTGCAAGTAGATAAATAGGTACCACTGCGGTGGGAAGGTAAACGGTGTTTCCGTGCGCTGCTCTGGTTCGCCAGAAGCGGCTTAGTCATGCTGGCCACATGACCCGGAAGCTTTATGCCGGCTCCCTCGGCCAGTAAAGCGAGATGAGCGCCGCAACCCCAGAGTCGTCCACGACTGGACCTAATGGTCAGGGGTCCCTTTACCTTTACCTTAAACAGGGCTGCCTTCAGATGTCTCCTAAAAGTCTGGTAGTTGTTTTTTCCTTTGATGTCTGGTGGGTGGGTGTTCCACAGGGCGGGTGCCACTACCGAGAAGACCCTCTGCCTGGTTCCCTGTAACCTCACTTATCGCACTGAGGGAACTGCCAGATGGCCCTCAGCGCTGGATCTCAGTGTCCGGGCTGAACGATGGGAGTGGGGACGCTCCTTCAGGTATACTGGACTGAGGCCATTTAGGGTTTTAAAGGTCAGCACCAACACTTTGAATTGTGCCTAGAAACATACTGGGAACCAATGTGGGTCTTTCAAGACCGGTGTTATGTGGTCTCAGCGGGAGAACAAAAAAGGGAGAACAATAATGGTGGTGTTGACCTTGGTTATAAAGATTAGGTAGTGCTCCTGTGTAGGCTTACTGACAGACCAAATTCTTGCAAATTCACTGCAGTAATTAAGTCTTTATGGAAGGTAATAAATTTGAGATGAGGATAATTCTTTTTGAGCTTTTATGTCTCCTTGTTCATGTTGCTCAGGGTTTTTTTGTTTTTTTGTCTTGAAGAGTGACAGTGGCTATGACTATCTATCAGTGGCGGAGAAAGAATGCCTTATGTTCCTTGAAGAAACAATAGATTCTCTGGATACTGAAGGAGACAGCGGAGTTTCTACTGATGAGGCAGAGACAGCTGAGTCTTCTAAGCATCCACGGACGTGGCCTATGAGAGATGTTCCTAAAGGTAAGCTGAGTTCTCTTGTGATTCTTTAACAGGAATGTTTCAGCTGAAGCATCATTCCTGGCTCAGTCTAGGTGGTGGTGAGGAAACAAAGCACAGAACTAGTTTCAGAACTGTAGAGTTCCGTGTGGAAAAAGTGTTTCACATGCATGTTCTATTAAGAGCACAAAATTTAGGGGTAGATCTAGTAGCTTAGATGCTAAAAAGCACACATTCATTTTAGCTCCTTTGAACAACTAAAAGTAGCCATAATGAGCTTGAGTTATCGCTTTAGGTTGGTAACTTAAAGTATTATGGTTCAAGGCAATGCACTTATGCTGTGGAAAAACCAAAGACATTTCCTAACCTCTAAATCCAGTTCCAATTTGGCTACAAGCACACATCCCCACCATAGAAACAAACAGACAGACAGACAGACAGACAGACAGACAGACATATTCTCTGTTACTCCTTGAGCTTTTAATCTAATAAATACCATGTGTGGGATTTGTTAAAATATCACTTTGATACAGTTAGTATTTTGTTTTTAATTCATCCTTTTGTGGTAAGTCAAATAATTTAAGGACTTGGGTTTGCTCTTCTCCTCTTTCTCTTTGTTGAGGTTTTGTGATAGTAAGATTGTAAGAACAATACTTACTTCTCCTTCTTTTGTTTCTTTCTATCCCCACCCCCAATATTGTAGAGCTGGATCATGAAAATCTAGGAAAGCGTAACAAAATTGAACCAAAGAGCAAAAAATGTCTTTCTGGCTCTGTTCCTGTTGTCACCCCAAATCCAGGTCACCATATCTTTCCAAGGAACATCAGTGTAAAAAGTGCTCCCAAGGTTTCTCTTGCTGAAGCAACAGGGTCTAATGTTGCTGATTCTCTGAAATGCCAGACTTCATGGGGGTCTCCTAAGCACGAGCCAGTGGACACACCAAATGACAAGCCTAAAATGAGCTCCCAGTTAAGGCCATCTAACTTGGAATCTATAGTCATCCCACCCCCTGAACCTTTCCAGGACCAGCAGAGGAGTCATCCTAGAAGTGGGCAAGAGCCAAGTGGGACACCTCACTATGAAAATAAGAGGAATGTTGATGTAGTGGAGGGATATGGGGCTGCAGCTACCCAGACAGAACTTTCACTAGATAAGATGGGGGTAGCAATTGGGAAAGAAGCCATTCTGAAACCTCTCTCTCCTAAAAGTAGCAAGAAGATTTCTGAACAAATTACTGTTGCTCAAGAAAATTATCAAAAACCTACACTGGAAGAACCTGCCCTAGATCCCAACTTCAAGCAAGGTCCTCCCACTGCCCCCAAACCCAGGAAACTGCCTCCCAATATTATCCTTAAAACCAGCAAAGGTAATGCTGTGTCACTCAATGTGGATCCCAGTCACAAGATAAAGGTTTTGGCTCCATCAAACGGCAGGCCCAGAGCTGCAACCGGTGATTTTTCCATGGAAAAAGTTCATTCAATCCAAAATGAACAGGGGAGAGCCAGGAGAGAAGCTCTTAAGAAACTGGGTCTCCCACTAGATCAAGAAAAAGATCCCGATGATCATGTGATCAAAACCACACCTTACTCAATTCCAAGAGAAACTCCCAGGACAAGCAGCAGGGAAAATGTAAATATGGATAATGTCACCTCTGATAAGAAATCTGATGAACAGCACAACCAGGTTGGTGGGAAAGAAATCTACCCAATGGATATCAACCTTGCAGCTGTCAAACAAGTCAATGTCAAATCCAAAACACTGGAGCGTTCAGGTGTCGGTTTGAGCAGTTGCATCTCTTCTGGGAGCGAGGACCAGAATATTAAGAACAGTGGTTCACTTGGCAAAATGTCATTTTTTGACAAGATCACTCCAAACTTTCTTCGCAGTAGCCGGCCACGGCCAGCTTCCCTTGGCACGGGGAAAGACTTTGTTGATCTGAAGGAAAACAAAATGCATAATGCTGAGTTGGAAAAAAGCGACAAACGACGATCTTATCCACTTCAGCCCCCCTCTAAGCTGCCCAGGCCACCATGTGTCAGTGTAAAGATCACCCCTAAGGGGGCCACAGAGGAGCATAGAAAGGAGGCTTTGAAAAAACTTGGTCTATTGAAGGAGTAAGCCAAATCATTTGATTAGTACAAAAACTGTGTGTTCAGTTGTGGATAATGCTTGCTCCCTCCGCTTCTTCAGCTAAAATGGGAGGAATTGCAGCATAGGATGAAGGTCTTGTCTAGTCTGCAGACATTCTTGATGGATTAACCAGCACTGGCTTCAGCTGTCTGCACGAGAACTGCACTTCTGTAGAGGAGGATTAATTCTGCCATTTACATCTGCCACCACCTTTATAGGATCTTAGGGTGTTGTATATAGTGTATAAAAGTATGATTATGTATGTATGTATGTATGTATGTATGACTATGTAATAAGTATGTGGTTAACTGGAAGGGGGAACTCTCAAAGATCTAAGTTGTAATTACTATGTCAAACTATGAACTCATAGGTCTTGTAACATGACGACAGCCATATGGCTAGAAATCTTTAGTTAAGATTGAGTTGCAATAATGTTTTTTGGTTCCTTTTTAAAACTCTGGGCCTGATAATCTGCTGCACACAGTGTAGCTGGTGGAATCAGGAGGCCTGTTTATATCCACTGAGATGACGCATGCGCTAGATATTTAATAAACTGGCAAGAATGCATCGGATATGAATCTTAAGTGTCAAGTTCATGAATGATAAGAAGTACTTGCCAATTCACCTCCAACATGTCTTCAAAATGGCTGGCTAGAATTTGATTAAAAGCAAATGAATACTAGAACTAGAATTGATCTGGTTGATGGTAGTTTGTTGTACCTGCTTATGTGAACAAATTACTATTGTATGCTCAATGAAAATCACGCAGTATTCGAGAATGAAAATTGCATTAAAAATTGAAAAATAAACTATTTTATATGGAGGAAACTTTGGATTTTATTTGGTTAGTAAAACATGTTAAAATAGTAAAGTGGAGTAGGGAGAACTGGTCTGTGGGAAACACAAAATTTAACCATACCCTTGAAAGTAAGCATAGTTGCATAAAATCACTGCTATCTCTGGAAAGGTTTGTGGCTCAAACATTACAGGTTCTTTAATAATAATGAGCTGAAGTTAAACCTACTGTATTTAGCACCACAGTATTAGAGCAAGTGACCCTTTCCCACCAACTCATCTGTTGAGGAACCCCAGCATACAGTGGTACCTCAGTTTAAGAACAGCCCTGTTTACGGACCCTTAAAAACCACAGGCGGAAGAAGCCTGTGGACGTGGTACTGGGCGGGCACCGAGCGCGCTCTCTCCCCTTGTACTGGAGCCGGGTACCGGGCTCCGGAGTGGGTGGTGCGTGGTGCTGTGAGTCGACTGCTTCCTCCGTGCAGCAAAGCCGTACTGCCGTTTTCGGAGAGCGCTGCCTTTTTCCTGGACAATTTGGCATCTAAAACATCTATCCGTGAGTACCTGATCTTGGAAGAGCTGAACTACTTTTAAGATCGGTGAATAAATAAATAACATTGGATTTGGACTTGAAATTGAATTTAATCGGGACTCGGAATGGAAAGGTCTAAACAGGAAGTCAGCCTTCCGTTCTTTTGTTACGTGAAGAAAGCAAAGACAAATTATACTAAAGCTTGAAAATTAAATTCTGAGAGAACTAAAATTCAACATCTAAGATTTCTGAACCCCCCTTTGACTGCAGGAGAAGGGGGTTGTTTTGGTCTTTTCAATCCTGCGGAAGTGAGTTTAAAATAAAGTAATTTTCCACCGCCCTGAACCAGGAGCGGGCTGTCAGAACTGACGTTTTGAAGCTTATCCAGCTCGACAGATAGTTAAAAGAAGGGTAACATTTTAACTTTACTGTTGCCTCTTGAATTTGGAAGGGGGAATTTTGGATAAAGTGTTTCTGGAAAAAGTAAGATTGTTGCCGTTGTTTTTCCCCCTTTAAAAAAAAAAAAAAAAAGGGGGGTTTTCCATCTAGTGGAACTGAGTGAAATTGCAATGCAGAGAGTATAAAAGAGAAGGACTATTCTCGTGGGAAAGAATCTTCTTTGACCTTGAAGGACAATGCTTGTACAAAGGCTTGAACAAGTGTTCCTGGAAGGTTTTGCAAAATTAAGTGCCCAGCTGGACCAGATGCGTCAGGAGCCGACCTTGATGATGGAAGTTACCAGAGCACAGCAGCAAACAAATGAAATTCAGTTAAAGTCTATACAAGTATATGAACCTGCTGTAGCGACGGAGGCTTCAGAAACTATTCGGTTTATGAACTCCCCAAAACCGGAAGTTGTGTCCTGGTTTGCAAACTTTACCTCAGTCTAAGAACGGAATCTGAATGGTGAAAGGGCACTGGCGGTGGGAGGCCTCATTAGGGAAAGCGCGCCTCGGTTTAAGAATGGTTTTGGTTTAAGAACGGACTTCCGGAACAGATTAAGTTCGTAAACCGAGGTACCACTGTATTTGGCAGCTCAGCAGGTCTCCAATCTATAAGGGAAGGATGGATTTTTGGCTTTGAACTAGCTGAACTGTAGTATTTATGTGGTGGTGGGGAACACATCAAAAGAGCTTGGGAGCCAATCATCCACTATGATTAAAAAAGTGTTCTTTTGTAAAATCCAAGTGCTCTTGTGCAACAGTTCTGTTTACATTTTCTTTCCCTCTCTCACGCTTTCCCATCTCAGGAGTTGAATACCATAAGAAATTAGAGAGAAAATGAAAATGTACTGTATCTTAGTTCAACACTAAACATTGTAACACAATTCTTTTTTAATTATTAGAAACTCTCATCCAGATATTACTAGGTGCACACAAAACACCTAACCCATTCATTTTGTTGGTATGTTGTTGTTCTAGATCAGGGGTTGTCAACCTGGTCCTTACCACCCACTAGTGAGCATTTCAGGTTTCTAGGTGGGCAGTAGGGGGTTCTACGGCACAAGCTCAATCCTCCTTCCATCGATCAATGTTGGGCGGTAAGGAAATTTTACCATCAAGAAAGATGCATTAGTGGGCAGTAGGTATAAAAAGGTTTACTATCCCTGTTCTAGATGAAGTTGCATGAAGAGACTAACAGCATACTTGTACTCTAAAAGTTATTCTGTGGCTAACTGATTTAAAGTCTGATCTGTAGCTTGGCTTTATTTTACTAGTTGTTCTCTCCCTGCCAACTGCTACCAGCCCCAGGATTTTGAACTGTAGAACCAGAGACTGCATGAACAGATTTCTACTCTCCTACATTTGTTAAATTGGTGATGCTACAAGACTATAGGCATTAGCAGTCTCCTCAAAGCCAATTCGCATCACTTTGCAGCAGGGAGCCAAATTTATGTCCAGCTCAATATATCTCTGAACTGCAAGTTGGCAGGACCTCACTCAACCAACTGTGAATAAATACAAAGACATGTGAAGAAAGTAAAATGACTCGTCTGAACATATGACAAAGTCAGCTTGTTAAAATCACTTCAAAAATATGGGTGAAATGTTTTTATAACTAACTCATGGGGGATGGGGTTAGAGGCAATTCCTGACAGGAACTTGCCAGGGGCATTCTCCTATCTACCCTAAATATGCTTCAAATCTACATTTTAGCACTCAGTCCTAATAGTATCCCAAATGTCAACTCAAAATTGCTTGTGTTCCCAGGATACTAATTTAACTTATGTCAATTTTAATGGTTGGGTGAACTTTTGTATTGGACTTTGATGCCTTCCTGTTGTTGTTTTTAAAGTGCAAATTTTCTCATGCCAATTTGTTTCTGACATTAAAGGAAGTAAAAATCCATTTTAGAGTGGAACTTTGGGTGTGGCTCCTGTTAAATAACTGACACCAAAATCCTTAACTAAACATGTAGAAAGAAGTCTTGTTGATTTTGAAAATGCAACTAATTCCTGCTTACATAACATTTTTTTTTGGCTTGGAGGGTAAGCTCGAACTTTTGTTTCACTTGGCCTTCTATAAATTTTGCAGTTGACTATTATACTTAACCAGAACTGATATTTGCTATTATATTGGCAAAACCATTCAAATATTCCCAACCTGCCCCCCACCCCACTTTACGACAGGCTGGAAGGGCTTTTGAATTGAATAGATGTATCCCTCTGCTCAGCTGAACTGGCCTCTTGCCATCTGCTATAGATGGAGTGGTCCAGAAAGCACTCCAGCATCCACCTCCCCCTTAGGTCAACTGAATGTGCAAGTGGGTGGGAGGCTCACAAGCAGAAAGCCCTGAAATGGGGTTCTGAGGGCAGGGAGAGGCAGGACCAAGACACCTTTGTATCTCTTACAATCCTGAGTAGTCTCACTGCCATCACCCAGTGGCATTGGGCCTGCTCCAGACCTGATCTCTGCACCACCCGGCAGCTGGCACAGGGATCAGATCCAATTGCCCTCTCCCCTTCCTCAGTTCCTGCAATGGCCAATTTGAGCAGCTGGGTTTAAGATGTGGCAGTGGCTCCCCACAGCCATGCCAGCAGTGGGTGAAGTTTTTGATTGTGCCCTGACTTTGGAAGTTTGTTCATCACATTTGTGTGCTAATAAAAGAACTATGTTTATAATGGCCTAATTCAAAATCATGTATGCAAGTTGCCACATATCCTTTGTACAAAGACTGGTAGTGGCTTGCTGGTGTTTACAATGCTAATTTAAACCAATTATTTTTGTGCTTCCAGTAAAGTATATTCAAGCTCTTACATATGCATGTAGTTCTGCCATTAAACTGCCTTAAGTAACTTTAAAAGTACTACGACACTAGAGCTGATTAGAAATTGCAGAACATCTTTAATAATCATATTGGAAATGTCATAGTTGAAAATAAATAGCAGGTGAACTTGCAAAGGTAAATGAATGTTAATCGTAATCAGACGATTAATCAGTCGCATACAGACACATATGCAACTGGACCATAGGAAGCTGCCTTGTTTGCAGTCAACCCTTAGGGTCTTCTGGCTCAGTATGGCCTACAGGAATTCCCCAGGTTTTTGGGTGGGGATCTTTCATAGCCCTAACAGGAAATGTGCACTGGTCCCTGCCAAAGTGGAAGTGTCTCTAAAATGAATCAGTTATGCCTGCTCCCCACACATATTTCCCTGCTATAG